GGCTTAAATTAACGGTTAATTAAAAAGCTTAAAGAAAGGCGTTTAAAAGGCTATATTTATTAGCTTTCTTTTAAATCTTTAAGAATAATTCCCTAAATGTAATTAAAATTATATTATATTAGATAAGAAGAAAAATAACTTTTAGAACTTTTAGTAAGTGTTTCTTAAAGTAGTAAATTAATCTAGTATTAAATATAATAAATAAACGAGGATACTTTTAATAAGCCTTAATAATACTAAGCTAATTAAGGTAAAAGAGCCCTTATAAATTATAAATTAAGTTATTTAAAAGCTATTATTAATTAATAATGATATTACATTTAATACCTAATTAAAAATATTTATAAAAGACCTTTTTACTAGCTAGAATATAATTAAGGCTAGCGATTAAGCTACTTTTATAAAGGTAATAGAGAGAAATTACGAGTTATAATAATTAAAAAGCTTTAAGCTTATATTTAATAAGTCTAGTAATAACTTTAATAACGCTTTTAGCCTAGGAAAGAATACGTGGATTAAATTAAACTTTAGCGATAATTTAAGGTAATTTTTAAAGTTATAATATTATTAAAGGAGTTAAAAATTAATAGGCAAACTAGCTAGTAATTTTATTACCTATTAGGCTATATAACTAGCCTTTTTTCCCTTTTAATAATAATAATAATAAGAAGACTATTAATTCTATTATATCTTATATATTTTTATTATTAAAAGAAGTTAAATTTTACTATTAAAGTTATTCTATAATATTTTCACGTAATTCCCTTATTAAAAATACCTTAATTACTTTATTTACCCGCTTATAAGCTTTTAAAAGTATTAAACGCTTATTATCTTTCTTTAAAAACTTATACTTTATTATATTATAATAAATTATCTTTTATTTATAGTTTACTTTTTTAAATTATCATTTAACCTATATATAAAGCTATAAGTAATAATAATTATATAGCTTCTTTTACGTTATTAACTAATAGTTTTCTTCTTTAAAATTCTAAAAATAATAGCGCTTCTCTTTAAAAGATATTAGTATATCTTTTTTAAGGTTAAAGCTAGTATTATTAAGGTAAAATCTTTCCTTTAATACGTAAAAAGACCTTATTAATATAAGATAAAGTAACTTAATATTATTAATTAATCTCTTAATATTAATAAGCATGTAAGTAAATAATCCCTTAAAATTTACAGCTATAAATACGTTTTATAATATTTAATGCTTTTAAAATTAAAATTATTACTATTAAGCTATTAAAAAAAACGCCTTAATATACGTACTATTAATCGCTTTAATAATACTATTAAATTATAAGAATCTCTTATTAAGTTCTATAAAATAAGAGATATATATTTAATTTAACTAATAAATAAACTTTATATATAAATTTCATATTAGTTTAATTATATTATAAAAGATTTAAAATACTAATATTTAAGAGAGCTTAAATTAAGCTATAATTAGAGTACAGAGCATTAGAAGTAGTGTAGTTTTGTAGTTTTGTAGTTTTTGTAGTTTCTAATATAAAAAATTATATTAAATCTAATAAAATTCTTATAGAATTATAAGTTTTACGAATACCTAATATAATCTCGGCCCATGTCAC